CTGCCAGCCGGAAGAGTCCCTGGGGATGGGGTGAAGAGAAAAGGTATGTGAGGGGCTGCATTTTTGGGGAGAGGGTGGCAGGGATGTCAGGAGTGCTGCCTACCTCCTCCCTCATGCCGGAGGCCAGCAGCATCATGACGCAGGCTTCGATGGGCAACGCAATCTCCCGACCCAAACTCTTGAGGTGCATCTCTAAGGGCACACCGTAGTATCCTGCCATCGGGGTGTCTGCAGTGAAGGAGGGTTCTGGAAGAGGGAGGTGAATGTCGGGAGGGACAATGGCCACTGGGGCCATCTAGCATCTAGCCATGGCGACATATCGCTCCGAGCCGAGCCTGGCTGGATGGAGGCAGAGGCAGGGCAGGCAGCATCCCCAGCCCACCTCCGGCTGCGGTCCCCAAAGTGGGAGGCAGCAGCAGACACAAGGAGGGAAAACCCGCCTTTCCCAGCCTTGCCGGCCACACTCGCATCCCCTGGGCTCAGCTGTAGCCCTCCCTGGGCTGCATGGAGAGCCAGTGGGTACCTGACTGGCTGTGGCTTTCCTTCAGTTCCACCAGAGCCGAGTCCAGAGATCCCAGGGATTGCCGGTGGTACTGGGCTTGGATTTCCAGCAGCTGCCAGACAGGGGACAGGCAAACAGTGCTCAGTTTAGCACCAGCCCCTCTCAGAAAGACCCCCATCCCCAGGACATTGCACCCACATGCAGACGGAGTGAAGGGGGAGCTGCAAGGAGAACCCTCCTGGGGTCCATGGGACCATGTCTGTAGTGAGGGGTAGAGGGTAAATTGGAGAGGGGAGGTCATTGGGACAAGCTGCTGTGTCTGCAGTTGGTGCTAGCGGTGGTGTTAACTGGCAGCGCATGGAGCAAGGCCAGCTTTAGGTATCTGCTGGTGCCTGGGGCTGTCCCTTGCCCTGGGCGGAGGGTTTGGTGCGGATGGGAACAAGGCTGGGCTCAGACATACCCCAGGAGGTGCTGACACACTGAGGAGGAGTGTGAGAGAGGACGTACTTTGATGAAGTAGCTGGCGTAGCTGTCCTCTTTGGTGGAGAAGTGGTAGAGGTCAGCCATGTACTCGTCCTGGAAAGGGAGACACAGAGAAGAGCAATCTTCCACCCCCTCCCTGGCACCCGATGAAGAGGAGACACTTTCACAAGTCCCCCTTGTCTGGGCTGTGAGTTGTCCAGACAGGGTCTCCGGGTGCCGTGGGGAGGCAGGCTGGGACCGCAGGGGGATTCCTCCTTGCTGCCATCGCTTGCATTTGGGTAGTGGCACGACCTGCCCTATGATCATGGTCCTGGCACAAGTGGCTCAGGGACAAGAGGTCCCTGCACCTCCAGCTCCGGTGAGCCCATGGACTCTGCCAGACAAGGGGCTGGGCTTTTCAGAGAAACAGGGAGTGGAGAAGTGGAGAAAGTTGATATGAAAGTCCCCTGCCACCCAGCACAGACCCCAGTTCGGCTGGCTCCCAGCCCAAGGGGG